AATGTTTAACTCCTGCTCTTAAAGGCACCTAAATGAAAAACACACTCTCATAGACAACACTAACAGAAAGTAGAGGAAAAAGTTTTGCAATTAATTTTTATAATTTAAGTGTAATTTAATTGCCTTCATTTGGGTGTTTTTGTGGAAAAACATACTCACTCACTCCTAAAAATATACACCTTAAAAATTTTAATTTCAAAACACAAACAACAAATAGAGACACGTAAAAATCTCAAACATATGAAGAAGAAAGTCACACAATTTGTTAAAACAACTTATTTAAAAAACATACACAGAAACAACAATAAAATCCTTAGAGAAGTTGTAGAAAGTTACAGCAACAAGAAAAAAAATTAAATCAAAACAAATAAAAAACTACAACAAAAAGCAAATTAAAAAATAAAAAAACATATAATGACGACATAAATGTAGAAAAAGTCATCAACAAACACTGGTTAAAAAACATACAAACACATTTCATACAAATGTTTTTAATTTGCATACTCATACTAATTTAAAAACAACTGTACAAATGTGGTTATAACAGTCGGAATTATTATAATAAGTACATTTTATTTTTTTTAATTGAAGTCTAAGCTATGACTAGACTATGACTAGACTATGACTAGACTATGACAAGACTATGACTAGACTATGACTAGACTATGACTAGCTATACTAGACTATGACTAGACTATGACTAGACTATGACTAGACTATGACTAGACTATGACTAGACTATGACTAGACTATGACTAGACTAGACTATGACTAGACTATGACTAGACTATGACTAGACTATGACTAGACTATGACTAGACTATGACTAGACTATGACTAGACTATGACTAGACTATGACTAGACTATGACTAGACTATGACTAGACTATGACTAGACTAGACTATGACTAGACTATGGACTAGACTATGACTAGACTATGACAGACTATGACTAGACTATGACTAGACTATGGACTAGACTATGACTAGACTATGACTAGCTATGACTAGACTATGACTAGACTATGACTAGACTATGACTAGACTATGACTAGACTATGACTAGACTATGACTAGACTATGACTAGACTATGACTAGACTATGACTAGACATGACTAGACTATGACTAGACTATGATAGACTATGACTAGACTATGACTAGACTATGACTAGACTATGATAGACTATGACTAGACTATGACTAGACTATGACTAGAACTCTGATCAGACATGACTAGACTATGACTAGACTATGACTAGACTATGACTAGACTATGACTAGACTATGACTAGACTATGACTAGACTATGACTAGACTATGACTAGACTATACTAGACTAGACTATGACTAGACTATGACTAGACTATGACTAGACTATGACTAGACTATGACTAGACTATGACTAGACTATGACTAGACTATGACTAGACTATGACTAGACTATGACTAGACTATGACTAGACTATGACTAGACTATGACTAGACTATGACTAGACTATGACTAGACTATGACTAGACTATGACTAGACTATGACTAGACTATGACAGACTATGACTAGACTACTGACTATGACTAGACTATGACTAGACTATGACTAGACTATGACTAGACTATGACTAGACTATGACTAGACTATGATTGCAGTGTTCTTATATTTACAATTATAACTCTATTGAAACTCATAATTATTCATAAGTAAAAATGCTTATATAAGTGTATGTACCCGCAAAAAGTCTGTCTTTTAAGTTGAAAATTGTGAAAACAACAACAGCAATAACAGAAAAAACGACACGAAGTTTTTGCAAATCTTGCAAAGTTTATTTAATAAAAACCTTATAATAAAAGCAACAAAATGTATCTTTTTTTTTCATAAAAAAGTTAAAATAAGACTCTCAAGGAAAAGAAACGTTCAAAAACCAAGAAGTTTTTAAAGAAGAGATAAATAAAAATATCAAAAAATAACATGAAAAACATTGAAATTAATTGCACTCAAAAAACAAATACTTATACGCAAATACAAGCATACACAGAGTATTGGTATTCATCCTTTTCTTCTTATAAAACGCCGAACACATATGCAGCCAACAAACTCATTAAAGAAAGCACATAACATTCACATACAAACAAGTGCTTTTACACATATGTGTAAATAGATTCAAAGTTTTTATTTTAAAATGGCATACGTGTGAGTATGTACTTTCTTATGAGAGTAGTCTAAAATGAACGTAAAACGTACTTAGACTATAAGCGATCTTTTTTAAAAATGCTTTTAAGTTTGCTCTCGTAAAAAATAAACTAGTAGGCATTGTTAGTAAAGTCAATATGTTTCATTGCTGTTGCACTGTCTGCAATCATTTCCTTAAAAAAGAACAAAAATTTCAAACTCATACACATTCTACACTAAATATTATCATGATGTGTGGCATAGGATAATACATGGAACATTTTAAAACATATTGCAGCATATACAGAGAAAATTAGTCTATAGATTTGTTTTATAGTGAACACGAGGGCTTAGTATCATAGCACATACATATATTTTTTATTTGTTTTTCTGGCTTTCACACGCTCCCACATTTTTCATTATATACATACTTACACACGCCCCGAAGGAGTCTTGCAGGCAGACAAACGACTTCATTCATTAAGTTTTTAAAATCTCATCAGAATACGAGTGATACTAATAAAATTTATCTCTTAAAATAACGAGAAAATTTAATTGAGTTTTAATTTTCAACATATTGAGAATACATTAATGTTTTGTGTTTTATAATCTTGCAAACAATTTTCGTTAGGAGAAGATGATGAGATTTGAATTAATTAAATTAACAGAAAAAAGAGGATTGTATTGCTACAAGAAGATGTTTAGTCTAGTCTTAGCTTTGGGATAAACTAGTGATAAACTAGTGATAGTCTAGTGATAGTCTGGTGATGGTCTAGTGATAGTCTAGTGATAGTCTAGTGATAGTCTAGTGATAGTCTAGTGATAGTCTAGTGATAGTCTAGTGATAGTCTAGTGATAGTCTAGTGATAGTCTAGTGATAGTCTAGTGATAGTCTAGTGATAGTCTAGTCATAGTCTAGTCATAGTCTAGTCATAGTCTAGTCATAGTCTAGTCATAGTCTAGTCATAGTCTAGTCATAGTCTAGTCATAGTCTAGTGATAGTCTAGTCATAGTCTAGTCATAGTCTAGTCATAGTCTAGTCATAGTCTAGTCATAGTCTAGTCATAGTCTAGTCATAGTCTAGTCATAGTCTAGTCATAGTCTAGTCATAGTCTAGTCATAGTCTAGTCATAGTCTAGTCATAGTCTAGTCATAGTCTAGTCATAGTCTAGTCATAGTCTAGTCATAGTCTAGTCATAGTCTAGTCATAGTCTAGTCATAGTCTAGTCATAGTCGTCATAGTCTAGTCATAGTCTAGTCATAGTCTAGTCATAGTCTAGTCATAGTCTAGTCATAGTCTAGTCATAGTCTAGTCATAGTCTAGTCATAGTCTAGTCATAGTCTAGTCATAGTCTAGTCATAGTCTAGTCATAGTCTAGTCATAGTCTAGTCATAGTCTAGTCATAGTCTAGTCATAGTCTAGTCATAGTCTAGTCATAGTCTAGTCATAGTCTAGTCATAGTCTAGTCATAGTCTAGTCATAGTCTAGTCATAGTCTAGTCATAGTCTAGTCATAGTCTAGTCATAGTTCTAGTCATAGTCTAGTCATAGTCTAGTCATAGTCTAGTCATAGTCTAGTCATAGTCTAGTCATAGTCTAGTCATAGTCTAGTCATAGTCTAGTCATAGTCTAGTCATAGTCTATAGTCATAGTCTAGTCATAGTCATAGTCTAGTCTTCTAGTAGTCTAGTCATAGTCTAGTCTGTAGTTTGTAGTTTAATTTGAAGTTTAGTTTGTAGTTTAGGCAGTAGTTCAGTCAGTAATTTATTCAGGAGTTTAGTCAGCATTTTAGTAAGTAGTTAAATCGATAGTTAAGTCATGAGTTTAGTCAGCAGTATGTCGATAGATTGGTCGGTTTGGTCAATAGTTGAGCGTTGCTGGCTAAAAATTCATTGGGATTAGCTGCACTATGATGTATTATTCATTTCACAGCAATTTCATAAATTTTGTCAATTTTAAGCATCAGCTGGTCGAACTTTACCACTCTCGCAATTTTTCTTATAAATATTTTTTTATTAAATTTGTTATTTTTTTGGCATTTACATAGTCATGCTTATGACAACACATACACCAACAATTGTAACATCCTTTTAAGATAAAGATGCAAATATTTTCAGTAACTATGTATGACAAATCTAACAAATACCAGAAAAACTGCACAAACATAAAAGTTTGTCGTCTTTGTTTTCTTTAGTTTAAGATTTTTTTTTTTGGTTTAAAAACAAAACGAGTAAATATTTTCAACAAAATTGCAAATAAAACGAACCAAATATGAAGTTAAAAATTGCACAAACATACATCTATACAGATGACTAATTTTGGTAAAGTAGAAGCAGGGCAAAGGAGTAACAAACATATGTGTGCATTTATTTTCTAAGGGATTTCGAAGGAATGAACATTATTGAATTTTAAACAAAACGACAACAATGGCAACAGGAAAATAATGTTCCCAAAACTATTGTTAAGAGAGTAAAAGTAGTTTTGTTATAGAGACACGTAGTTTAATAAGCCTCTAAGGACTATAGCACAGGATTTGTAAGGACTTAAGCAACTTTTGTGGTATTGGTAGGTGTGTATGTAGGGGTTTGTATGGTTGAGGCAAATAGCTATGGTATTTATTTTAAATTTGTAGTCGTACACAAACAATTGTAGATAAATTGGAATTTGGCAGAGATAAAAACTTGTTAAATTATGGTTGATATAAAATTTGCAGAATTTATGAAAAGTATGCTTTAAATTTTCTTTCTATTTTTTTGCAGGTACGAGTTAAAACTTTAACAAAAAAAAAAAACATTTTACAAATAAATATTTATATAGAAAGTATATGAAAAGTGTTGTTATAAAAAAACCAAATAAATGACATTACATTTGTGCAACATAACACTAGGCAACGAGTCAAATAACACGATTTAAGCAATTTGTTTTTTTATGTTTTAAGTTTAACATATTTGGATTGTTTTTATTTTCTCGCTGGCGTACGAAAATAATGTTGTTGTTGCAAAATTGCAACATTTATGGTGGTATATGGTTGTTTGCATTTGTCGGTATCAAAAATATACAACTGCAACAGCAGCAGCAGCAGCAACAAAACCAACAACAAAGACAGCAGCAACAAAAACAACAACAGCAGCTTTTGCAGCTCAAAAAACAAAATCCAAAAAAGTATTGAGTTGATGGGCCCCTGGTATATAATTGGGGCCCTCCTACTGCTATCGGCAAGAGCGGGGGACTCCACAAATAAAATCATAATACCGCAACAAATTGGCAGCAATATCGTCAACACAAATGTCGCCAACGGCATGCATCATCATATTACAAAAACCTCTATTACAACGACCGGCAACAAAGGCACCGTTGTCAGTGGCAATGGGGTCATAGTGGCAGGCGGTTCACTACACGGTTCAATGGGACCATCATCCTCGCTTAATAGTAAGTAGACAATTTGTGTATTTTATACATATTTTATGTTTGTTTGTTCAACTGTCCGTCCGTCTGTGTGTCCATCCATCCAGCCTGTCTGTCTGTCCGTTTATATACATATTTATTTTCGGGATGATACTTTGTATATTTTCAACCATTATTTGCGGTTGTAGGTTGTATGTATTTGGTCGAAAGTGGCATTTATGCAAATTGTATAGACATGCCGCAAAAAAATTTTAAAACGAAAAAATTGTTTTTTATATAAAAAAATTTCCATTTTTCTTTTAGTATAAAAAATATATACATATTGCAGAAAATTGTTATTTTATTGTGCTTACTTTTTTTAACTTTTATTTTAATGCTGTACCTCTTTGGAAAAAAACTATCAACAGCTGTTAAAAAAATTATCCCATGATATGTGGCATATGGGTGGTTGGTCAATTATTCACTGTGCTACAATGTGTTTGTTTTATAAGAAAAATAAATTTATGCAAAAATAGCTATAACAAAAAAAGAAAAGGGTTTTTTGTATAACAAATTTGAAAATAATATTTTGCACATTAATAAAAGTGTCAAAAAGTTATTGAAATCGATAAACCATAAAGCATCTTAAGACTAACAAATTCACAAAGAAAACTTAATTTAAAAATAATAAACTTTATGATTTAATTTAGTAAAACAAAAAAGAAAAATCATTTATTATATACTTTAATACAAAACATTGCTAAATCTTTCTCATATAGCCTCAAAGTATGCTATGGTTAATTATTTATAACTTACACATATACACTCAACTACATATATAAACAAAACACCGATAGCCTTAAGTCCACAAAAACAACAAGACAAATAAAACTAAAAATTCAAACTGACAACAAGTAAAACTCATGTGTAAACATCAATGTATGTGTACACACTGATGTGTCTGTGTTAGGATATTGTTAAGGATATTCCTAAACACAACTAATGACAAATGTCATCTTTGTGCTATATATATACAACTCTTAGAGTTTATATTTCCATATTTAAATTAGCCAACACTCAAACTGCTTTAAGTTTTCTCTTTCGGTCTTTATCTGTTGTCTCTATACTCCTTGGTTGGATATTTTCATATAGCTTTCTCTTTGCTGAATAGTTTACATGTGAGTTTGTATATGTATGTATTGTTGACTTTTTAAAGGAATGACACTAATTTGTAATGAAAACTTTAAGCTTTGATTTGTATACAAAAAGGCCAACAAATATGTAAATAGTATGTGTGTTTGTCTTTCACGTACACATAGAGAAAAACTATGATTGCAGCTATCATTCTAAAACTAAAACTCCTCTTCCAGCATTATCAGCGTTATCAGAGTTTTGTATTTGCAGCAATCATATTATGTTAAAATTATCCCTCAAATGAAAACTGCAAACTTGAAAATATAACTCCATGTGATTTTTCTCTGGGTGTATAACATATATACATGTGTATATGTTTTTGCCATATAATCCTTTAAATGTTGCACTAGCAAGAAGTAAATATGATTTAAATTATTCTTTAAAAAATTAAATTTAAATTCAATAAACTCTATTGTAATGTTTATGCAGCATGTAATTAAAGTCTTGTCTTAACTTGTTTAAATATGCATGAGTATAAGCCTACAGATATATATTATAATATATGAACTATAAGGAAAGCTACCTAAATCAAAAATCTAGAAAACTATTTTTTTCAGAAATCTTCTGGTTTTTAATGATCTATAGTCTAGTCTATAGTCAAGTCTATAGTCTAGTCTATAGTCTAGTCTATAGTCTAGTCTATAGTCAAGTCTATAGTCTAGTCTATAGTCTAGTCTATAGTCTAGTCTATAGTCTAGTCTATAGTCTAGTCTATAGTCTAGTCTATAGTCTAGTCTATAGTCTAGTCTATAGTCTAGTCTATAGTCTAGTCTATAGTCTAGTCTATAGTCTAGTCTATAGTCTAGTCTATAGTCTAGTCTATAGTCTAGTCTATAGTCTAGTCTATAGTCTAGTCTATAGTCTAGTCTATAGTAAATATTATATCCAAATAGATTTGGTTTCATAAGTTATCGCAAAGCAGTATTTATGGACTATATGTCTGCAGACAAGAAGTTAACTTTTCTGAAATGCTAGTTGAGAGCTTTTACATAGATTTGTACATGCGTTTGTTTACATATTACCATGTAAGTAAATTTAAATGTATTTATTTATAGATGTATTAGGATTTTATGTATGTGGTGAAATACTTCCTCATGTTTAATTGTTACAATTCAATAGGCTTTAAAACATAATAGTATTATTATTACTGTCATAATTTACTATTATTTTATAATTGCTATAATTCTATGAGAGACAAAAAGTGCCTTTCAATTATGAAAAACAATCACAAAACACTTATGAATAAACTAAACAAGGGCAATTTGGTCATTTATTAAATTAAGTGACAATAAGTACAGACTACCTTTAGGTGTTTTAGGACAAAGCAATGGTAGAATAAACAAAAATAATAGAATTTATAATGATTATAATTTCTTGTTAGTAGTTGCTAAATTTATTATCTTTTAAATGATTTGTTTTAGTTATAAATAAAAATTCTAGTTAAATTTCAAAGCACATAACTAGGGGCTTAATGCACAACTACCTCTATATGAATACTTAAGTAAGGTATGTATGTATGTGAGGAATACATATGTATGTATTTGTTAGAAGAATTAACGCGTAAAAGCAATAATATTCATGTTTCTTTTTCGCAGATATATTTTGAGATTACCCGGTGGTTTTTGGAATCGTCTTCAATACTCAAATATATATATGAGATAAACACATACTCTCTGTAATGGAGACTGAGATGCATTGTTTACTTTACAAGTGCTAGATAATCTAGCAGTTAGTCAGTTAGTTTTTTGGGTGTAAAGAGATTACAACAATCTTCATAGTTACAATTAAGTAAAATCTGCACTTTAGTTCCTGTGAACTACAGTTCTTATCGAAAACATGTTTCTCCACACACATGTTACATTCAAAACATTTTTTGGACATTCTATTCACTTTTTTTCATTCTTAGCTTTTATTTAGATTTTTTTTTGTCCATATTTTCAAATGGCCAGTGGCAACAACCTAAAAATACTACTAGTATGAAATGTTTGATTAGAATAGTAACATATTTGAAAAAATACCAAAAAATTCAAAAACAAAAAAAGAAATCTACACAAAAACTAACAACTTTACTAAGCTCAAATGGATTAATGTTTTCAAATGCCAAACACGTTTTTCAATTGGTTTTCTGAAAGGACAATATTTTTTATATTTCTACTGTCAGCCTACATCTCTCTTCAACTATATACAGAGTCTGGAATTATGGGATCTATATGTATGTCCAACATAAAGCCATAAAAAAATATTGTACAAATATAAAACAATTGCAAAAAATCACTCGAAAAAACATTAGTCTTATATCCTATCAAAATAAAAAAAAATAAAACTCTGAACATTTAGCCATAATAATAACATACGAGTTGTATAGCAGAACTAGGGGAATTATTTTATTTTCTTTTAGTTTTTCAAACCTTTAACCCGCGTTGTATTCATGCAGCCGTGTCCGACAATTGTAGAGGCAATTTTTCTCTGCCTGTTCGATGATAAATTATGTCTGTGTTGTTGCTTTGCTTGTACGTTGCCATTGAAATCAATTGAACATGACAAATATTGCCCAAACAATTGAGGAAAAAATATATTCAAATATTAAATTACAATATTACTGCAAAAACGGTAATTTAAGTTAACAATTAAAAAGGAAAAAAAACGACAAATTTAAATTAATTGTATTTTAAATCAAGTACTAAAAACTTAATATGAAATAATGCTAAAAAGCAACAAAAAAGTTGAAGAAAATAAATTTAAATTCTGTAAGAAATGTTCAAAAGTTTTACCTTTGTACTAAAAGTTGAAATGGTGTGGCCTCCAGGAGCAGTGTTGTAGTCTCCATGATCGGAGGTTGTGTGTTCGATTACCGCCTGAGCACTGGAAAGGGGGCACAACAGGGGCTATGTTGTCTTCAGTGTATTTGATGTAACTAACTAACTAACTACTAACTAACTAACTAACTAACTAACTAACTAACTAACTAACTAACTAACTAACTAACTAACTAACTAACTAACTACTAACTAACTACTAACTAACTAACTACTAACTAACTACTAACTAACTAACTAACTAACTAACTAACTAACTAACTAACTACTAACTAACTACTACTACTAACTAACTAACTAACTAACTAACTAACTAACTAACTAACTACTAACTAACTAACTAACTACTAACTACTAACTAACTAACTACTAACTAACTAACTAACTAACTAACTAACTACTAACTAACTAACTAACTAACTAACTAACTAACTAACTAACTAACTAACTAACTAACTAACTAACTAACTACTAACTAACTAACTACTAACTAACTAACTAACTACTAACTACTAACTAACTAACTAACTAACTAACTAACTAACTAACCTAACTAACTAACTAACTAACTAACTACTACTAACTAACTAACTAACTAACTAACTAACTACTAACTAACTAACTAACTAACTAACTAACTAACTAACTAACTAACTAACTAACTAACTAACTAACTAACTAACTAACTAACTAACTAACTAACTAACTAACTAACTAACTAACTAACTAACTAACCTAACTAACTAACTAACTAACTAACTAACTAACTACTAACTAACTAACTACACTAACTAACTAACTAACTAACTAACTAACTAACTACTAACTAACTAACTACACTAACTAACTAACTAACTAACTAACTAACTAACTAACTAACTAACGACTAACTAACTAACTAACTAACTAACTAACTAACTAACTAACTAACTAACTACTAACACTAACTAACTAACTAACTAACTAACTAACTAACTAACTAACTACTAACTAACTAACTAACTAACTAACTAACTAACTAACTAACTAACTAAC